GCATCTGTACCTTAATCTATATGTCCCTTGTAGCGCATCTGTACCTTAGTCTATTTGTCCCTTGTAGCACATCTGTACATAAGTCTATATGTCCCTTGTAGCACATCTGTACCTTAGTCTATATGTCACTTGTACCACATATATACCTTAGTCTATATGTCCCTTGTAGCGCATTTGTACCAAAGTCTATATGTCCCTTGTAGCACATCTGTATCTACGTATATATGTCCCTTGTAGCACATCTGTACTAAAGTCTATATGTCCCTTGTAGCACATCTGTATCTTGGTCTATATGTCCCTTGTAGCATATCTGTATCTAAGCCTATATGTCACTTGAAGTGCATCTGTACCAAAGTCTATATGTTCCTTGTTGCACATATGTATCTTAGTCTATATATCCCTTGTAGCGTATCTGTACTTTAGTCTATATTTCCATTGTAGCACATCTGTTTTCTAAGTCTATATGTCCCTCGTAGCACATCTGTACCTTAGCCTATATGTCACTTGTATCGCATCTGTACCAAAGTCTATATGTCACTTGTAGTACATATGTATCTTAGTCTATATATCCCTTGTAGCGTCTCTGTACTTAAGTCTATATGTCCATTGTAGCACATCTGTTTTCTAAGTATATATGTCCCTTGTAGCACATCTGTACAAAAGTCTATATGTCCTTTGTAGCGCATCTGTATCTAAGTCTATATGTCCCTTGTAGCACATCTGTATCTTAGTCTATATGTCCCTTGTAGCGCATCTGTAACATAGTCTATATGTCCCTTGTAGCGCATTTATACCTTACTCTATATGGCCCTTTTAGGGCATCTGTGCCTTATTCTATATGTCCCTTGTAGTACATATGGACCTTAGTCTATATATCCCTTGTAGCACATATGTACCTTAGTCTATATGTCCCTTGTAGCACATCTGTACCTTAGTCTATATGTCCCTTGTAGCGCATCTGTACCTTAATCTATATGTCCTTGTAGCGCATCTGTACCTTAGTCTATTTGTCCCTTGTAGCACATCTGTACATAAGTCTATATGTCCCTTGTAGCACATCTGTACCTTAGTCTATATGTCACTTGTAGCACATATATACCTTAGTCTATATGTCCCTTGTAGCACATCTGTATCTAAGTATATATGTCCCTTGTAGCACATCTGTACTAAAGTCTATATGTCCCTTGTAGCACATCTGTATCTTGGTCTATGTCCCTTGTAGCACATCTGTATCTAAGTCTATATGTCCCTTGAAGTGCATCTGTACCAAAGTCTATATGTTCCTTGTTGCACATATGTACCAAAGTCTATATGTCCCTCGTAGCACATCTGTATCTTAGTCTCTTTGTCTCTTGTAGTGCATCTGTACCTTAGTCTATATTTAACTTGTAGCACATCTATACCTGAGTCTATATGTCCCTTGTTGCGCATCTGTACCAAAGTCTATATGTCCCTTGTAGTACATCTGTATCTTAGTCTATATGTCCCTTGTAGCGCATCTGTACCTTAGTCTATATGTCCCTTGTAGCACATCTTTACATTAGTCTATATGTCCCTTGTAGCGCATCTGTACCTTAGTCTGTTTGTCCCTTGTAGCACATCTTTACATTAGTCTATATGTCTCTTGTAGCGCATATGTACCTTTGTCTATATGTCCCTTGTATTACATCTGTATCTTAGTCTATATGTCCCTTGTAGCGCATCTGTACCTTAGTCTATATGTCCCTTGTAGCACATCTTTACATAAGTCTATATGTCCCTTGTAGCGCATCTGTACCTTAGTCTATATGTCCCTTGTAGCACATCTTTACATTAGTCTATATGTCTCTTGTAGTGCATCTGTACCTTAGTCTATATGTCCCTTGTAGCACATGTATACCTTAGTCTATATGTCCCTTGTAGCACATCTGTACCTTTGTTTAGATGTCCCTTGTATTACATCTGTACCTTAGTCTATATGTCCCTTGTAGCACATCTTTACATTAGTCTATATGTCTCTTGTAGCGCATCTGTACCTTTGTCTATATGTCCCTTGTATTACATCTGTATCTTAGTCTATATGTGCCTTGTAGCGCATGTGTACCTTAGTCTATATGTCCCTTGTAGCACATCTGTGCCTTTGTTTATATGTCCCTTGTATTACATCTGTATCTTGGTCTATATGTCCCTTGTAGCACATCTGTACCTTAGTCTATATGTCCCTTGTAGCACATCTTTACATTAGTCTATATGTCCCTTGTAGCGCATCTGTACCTTAGTCTATATGTCCCTTGTAGCACATCTTTACATTAGTCTATATGCCCCTTGTAGCACATCTGTACCTTAGTCTATATGTCCCTTGTAGCACATCTGTACCTTTGTTTATATGTCCCTTGTATTACATATGTATCTTAGTCTATATGTCCCTTGTAGCGCATTTGTACCTTAAGCTATATGTCCCTTGGGGAAAATCTACCTTAATACAACCGTGCTTAGTAAACATCTCGTGGTTGTTTTCAAATATTTTTTTAAACGGAAAATTATTTACGGTACCCTGTGCCCGTAGTTCCTCGGTAACATTGCTTGACTTGAAATTATGACACAGATCTGCGTTCATACAGCATTGCTTTTTGGCCGTGTCTTTCCATTGGTTTCTGAGCATAGTATTTGATATGGGAATATCATCTTCTAATTATTGTTTGGAGATGTCGTTGTTCCTTGTGCAATTATATTACAGTGACGACGTTTTCAAAGGTGACAACGCTTGTATCTGAAAACAAGATTATAACGACTGGAATGAATAAGCACGTGCCGATTTAAATTCACTGAAAACTGAAATGTGAATTATCAATATTACAAATATATTGATCACAATGCTCGAGAAAGTAACGGTTATTTTAACATTTTGCATAAATTAAAAAAAATACAGATGAGTTATTATTTGCCGTATCGAAGTTTTCAAGTGACCGGAACATAATCATATAAAAATGAATTCATTACATTTACCCTACTGTCTTTATATCAAATAATCTCTCTTTGAAACAAATTCTTAGGGAAAAGCCAACGTTATCAAAGAACCACGAACTGCATTTGGACATCTCACTGTATAGTACAAAAATATCCACAACAAAAGTTTTAAAAAGCTATACCAATATAAATGACACGCGGGGACATTCGTACTGCCTCACAAGTGTGTTTTGTTGTTATGTTCACGAAACAACATTATTATTGCGGCAATGTTGATCGCCATATCCGCCGCAAAAAGATATCTTGCGAATAATTAAATAATAGAACGATAATGGTCCTAGGCATCATGCACGAGGCGTGTTTACCGTAAGGTGCACGAACACTTAAACAGTGTAAATGGGAAGCTTTAAGAAGTTTTAAGAAACAGCCGTCAGTCTGAGAAACACGAGATGTGTTTTTACTATTTCCACTGACCCTTAGCGCCTTGCCACAAACTTATGTCTGTTTTGACAATATTTGGAAATTCATGCAATTAATTAGTGTAAACAGCCCGAGCTAGTTTTCCTTGCTCTCACCGTTTTTCGTCATGGGTGAAATACAATCGGTTTACCTTATCCCTGCTTGCTTATGGCCAAGCCTCGGCTGCAGGGAAAATTGCGCAGACAAGGCACTCAGGACTAGAAATGTGGTCTTTCAATATTGCTGGGGATTTCTATGTTTACGCGTCGTTTACAATGTGCAACCCTTCCGTGGCTTAATGGCGAAACCGACATTTGGTGTGTAATATACACACGCTTCTCAAAAGGCTGTTTGACGGAACTGTTCAGCTTCTCGGCTGCGGCGTGGAGAAGATGACGCGATCAAGATTTCGAGATTTGGTGTTCTTGTTTTACTTCTTCGATTAATGGTGCGTATCCGATCTGTATGTGATAGCAAATTAACAGGTCTAAGAAACGTGAGATCAAGTTAACAGATTTTTTTGTATTAGGCGAAACATTCGATCATGAATTATTCTCAGCTTTTTTACGGTGAATGCATATACCTTGAAATATATTAACGCTAGCTGTGTAAATAACCTAATTTTGTCGTTAAAACGGGTGAGAATCGGCAGGCCTAGTCAACTGCCTGTACTTTCTAAAATATGTTCAGTCATAAATGCGTTCTAGAATATTAGCATTAAGATTTGGAATTATATAATGTTATAGCGCATGGTTATAATTGAAATGTTATTCCTGAAATGCGTGTAGTACTGCAAGTAAAAGAGCACTGGTCGTGCCAAATCATTGAGTTCAAAGACATGGTAAAATGATTTTGAAATACAAAGTACATAAAGGAGTTCTAGAATTTAGAAGCCTTGATGGATGTGTTCCTTCGAGAATTACGAAGACGTTGTGATAGAATAACGTGCGTACATCGTAAATGATCCAAATGTTTAGGAATTACCGTTATGTCTGTTCAACCATTTCAGACACTATTGCGTCACGTAAGCAACACGAACTAAATCACTTCAGTAAATGGTTACTTCAAGTTAATAATACTGAATTAAGATTATCTACTGTTCCGTTATAAGGAAAAACAACACCAAATATATTTTTGAAAGTTTATATTATATGAGCATGGAAAGTAAATAACTCATTTTACTTTGGGAACAATTATTCAGAAAACTAGAAGAAATTATCTGTCGTTGTAAATAACAACCTTGGGTGAAGAAAATCTGGTTTTGGTAATACACTAACTTCTAACCTTCCTTATTTATGTAAAACAAATTCATGTTTTGAAAGAAAAACGAAAGGTAATCGTCTTCCATAAATCTAATCAACCCTTACTGAATCATGTCAGTCCCTGTAATTTATGCAAAGACTAAAGTTAATTTTTATTTTTCGCTTCTACAATATCAAAATTTCTTCGCACATTTTGATGGGCCACAAATGCCAACTGCAAAAATATATATTTCTAATTAGTATTTGAACGTAGCTACATGGAAAATCTTACAAGTATTTTCGTTTTATTGACCCCAACAAATCAATTAAGCTAGAATGTTTACAACATTACCAAATATTTTTTTATAAACGTCTCAGGTTTACGCGCTGAAATAAATATGCATCGTTTTCACAATTTGCCGATGTCATGCCTTCGTTTTCAGTTGTAAAGACTTGAACCCATCTCATTTATTGGGGTGGTAAAAATGTATAACGTGCATGAATACATTAAGTGGCTCCCACTCCACGTGTCCCAGCCCTGACGGCAAAACCTTCCTTGCAGACCGCACCACTCCCGGTGAGCTTTTGTGGTATTTCGCCATTGCAAATATGGATTGAGATTTGGATAGTCAAACTTTCTCCTGTCGAAGCGCTACGATAGTGTGTGTACAAACCGAAAATTCAAATGAGCGTCAAGGGGTTGTTGGTCGCCAGCAGTTGGTGTGAGAGTTTACAAATCACCAGACACAGCCACTTAAGATAACAATTATTTTCAGCACCCAGTGTAAAAGACCACGTCTCTATTGATTTTAGTTATCAGAAGGATACATCGATTACAAATTTAAACAAGCAAACATTAAAAAGTGTATTGAAATATATGATAAACCACAAACAGTGAATGTAATTGGTGAAAATTATATTCACATTCAATATAATCAAGTGTAGTGTCAAAACACGAGAAAGAACTGGGAAATTGAGAACAACATGGTTATCACAATATATTTTTCCTAGTGAATAAGACCATAAAGATTTCGTTTGTCTCACTTCAAATAGAATTATCCCTTAAAGGAATAAGGTTAAAAAAAACACGTAAATAACGAATATTTTTATATTTACAAAGAACCCGTCCATAATACACCAGGGGTCATATTACCATTACTTGAGCGGCAGATCGATGGTTCAACCCTCGCCCGCGTTATGTCAAAAGACGTTAAAGATGGTACTTGTTTTCCTGCCTAGCGTTCGGCATTGAAGAGATGAAACAAGCACTGGTCGGCTGGACTAGTAGAAATCACACTTCCGCACCCACACGTCGCTGTACGAGTGCAACAACGTTAAACCCATTTCACACCCACCTAAACATTACTATGGTACCAATGAACACAAATTCATCACAGTTTACTGCATGCGCAAATCTAATGGATTAACAAGGATATGATTACAATGTTTATTTTCCTTAGAAGAGTTTATTTTGAACTTGAATCATGGCCTGACGCTCATACGATACCTCGATCGGAATTCAGGATTTCAAAATGTCACAGTGTAATACATGTAAATTATTACGTCTTGCGGGTTTAGCAATAAACATTACGGTGAACAAGGAAGAAATCTCTAATTCTCGATAGACCCCTTCGTAATGTTGGGCTCCTCGATCAGGCCATCGGTCCTTGTTAGTGCGTTTCTCATTTGTCGCAGAACCGATATTGCCGACCCTTAAAAGTGTTTAATATCCCCGCTTGCATGTGTATCATCCCGCCATGAATAAACATTGAAGAATAAGCCGTTCAATAAATAAATCTGTGCTGTACTTTATTGTATTTTAAAGGGTGTGAAGTAACTCTTATTGTTTGGTATTTAAATCTTTAAAGCTTTCAACACCAATACACCAATGCATGAGGATAGCACAATAATGATACAATTGTAAACCGGTTAAACAACCGATAACTTACCACAGTAATGGTCTTTTATCTTTTGTAAAATTTTCATTCGATCAACCGCTCCGGAGCTGAACACGAAGATGAGAAACACATAGCATAAGTGCCTTCGTACGACCTTCCTACTACTTGTCATGTACGTCAGGACGTTAGAAAGTTATTCAGGTAGTTTTAAAACCAGCATGTCCACAACGATGTCGATCTATTGCTCCATCACCGACAACACTGCAGCTGAACTCTTCCCAAATACAATTGCAACATCTTTGATTCTATTTTCAGCATATTATTTAAAATCATGTACGTTAGAGAATTCTAAATCAATTAGTTATTGTAATGAATTAATTAGGTAATAATCGTATTAAGCGATTAATCACAGTCGTATCCAATGCAATATCAGGATGGCGTCTCAGAAATGGCGACAAGTTACCAGCGATAATGCAAAGTTTAGTTCCCATCCATACAACTTCCGGTTAATTAACACAATTGCACTAGTCGACCTAACAATCAAAGGTAGGGGACAATAGAATTGAAAAAAAAAACCGAAATTCTAAACCACATTTTTCCTCAACTCATTTCGCACCACCCACATTCATCTTAAACTATAAGCAAGTCCTCTTGAAGAAATTGATTTGAAAGATAAGACTCCCGCGGGGACTCCTTTAAAGATTTTCTCAATCTGAGCGGTCATATTAGTACGAAGAATTATGTTCAACTCTTGCGCTCACCTCTCGGAATCCACCAATAGAAGGACGCCCTATGGTTTTCATTTAGATCCGACACATATCTCCGAATGCCAAAATTATCACTAACAAACATCAGTCTCGGCAATAATATAATTATTTATTGACAAACTCAATTCAAAAGTTCTCAGTTGAAATATGTACCTGGTGGCGTTTGTAAAGAAAATCAGAACACCACTGTTAAATGTGTCAAGCATAAGAACCCTGTACCATCCGAGAAAAATATATGTAATAAATGAAAATAACCCAGCTTTTTTATAGCTAGGACGTCGCTTATATTTCCCGGAGTGTCCACACCGCAAATTTGCAACAATCACACATCTGCATACATTTGCTTCTTTCAAGTAGTTTTGGACTTGAATCAACCAGATCCATGACAGACATTGGTGTGCCTGCATGTACTAGCTCTCAGGCACGACTGGTAATCCATCTTTGGCTATCTGCAAGAAAAGAAAAGTGTATTTGAATAACCTTATCCATGCGAAAAGAATACTGAAGATTACTTTCATCTGATTTTGTTCAACCTCGTCATCATTACTTATATTTGTTAAATCCGGCCATACCAATTTTGCAATTGCACACCAGCTACGCTGAACTACACTGGGTAACATATTCTCTTGTAAATACGTGTCAGCTAAATATCTTTTTATGAGAAGCGTGGTAGTTACAGTTGTGCCTTATGTTCTGGGGAGCCTTGTCGAGGGACAGTCAATGTATCTGAATCCACGTACATGCTATCATTATGTGTTATGTATTTGTAAATGCGTACACTTCTTGAATTATTTTACCGGTAGGATATGTAAAATTGTTACGATATGGGACATAATGTAATGTTTTATGTCAGCTCACTAACTAAATTTAATAACGTATGTCCACGGTCAGAACGCTACATGAATGTGTGTACATGAGATACAAGGGAACGTGCTGATCAGGTGTGCGTGACAGTTCATATATGTCTCACTGAAACGTTCATCAAATTAATTTGGAACATCAAGGTGTGAAGAAGGAAATTTAGTTCCCCAATTCACTCTTTCAAAGATCCACGAAATTCTTCACAAGATTCATATTCAGGTCTGCAAACAATATATTGCTCAAACATAGCTGCGTGGCATGTCAAGTAGTATTATCAGTGGTAAAACATTCTTAAAATATGCATACGCACAATATTATTCTATTCTCTGTATCCATATTGGTTAAAATTGGAATATAGTTTCAGTAAATCTTTTGATACCTGCTGTTGTTACGCCGGTGTTAAAACGAGTTATTCCATCAAAAAGATACATATCTGACACAAACATATGTAGGTATTCACGCTACGATATAAAATAAGATTTATAGCCCACAGATCTAGTAGAAAGATCCATCATTTCAAGAAAACCGCCCATCTGCGAAACCACATGTAAAAACACCCAAAAAATGGTAATGTGAGTGTTTTTGCGTTGTTTAACAAGCACTAGCAATGTTAAAACAATATCGTAGCCATTAACATTACAAGCGTAGCAAAGCTTAGCTTGTAATAATAGCCCGTTGTTCAAACGATAATCGTTTTTCGGTATGTTAAAGAATATCAATCCTCTACACTTCTGCATCCAGATAAGCACAATTCGCCATTTTGCGTTCTGAAAAGAAGAGTGAATAAAAACATTCCAAATAAGTTGGTTGGTTGGTTGGTTTGTTGTTTAAATTGTGTACATCTTTAGGAAACCGGCATAATTGCTAGTTATAGGGGAGTGTACTGTCGTTATTTTAATGATTGAAAGTAGCGTCCTCGTGTATTGGTGACAATGACTACGATGTCAGTTATCAGTTTACAGTAACCTAAGAGATCGGTATGTCTGTTAAATCATTATCTTATACCTACCATTATCACCAACATTTGAATTTGTATTTAGTACACGAGGAAATTCTTGTTCATCCTGACTGCTTCTCACAAATAATATTCCGAAATTTGTGTTTGGTTATTGTTTAACGCCGCACTCCAGCAATATTCCAGCTGTACGACAGCGGTCTGTAAATAATCGAGTCTGGACCAGACAATCCAGTGATTGACATCATGAGATTCGATCAACACAATTAAGATACAATGAGATGCATCAACCAAGACACCGAGCCTGACCACCCGATCCCGTTTGTGGCCTCTTGCGACAAGCATGGGTTGCTGAAGATCAGTTCTAAGCCGGATCTTCAAGGGGTCTGAAATGCATTTGTAGCAGTGTTTTTTTGCATTTTGAAACACATTCTTCATACCCTTGACAAAAACCCGTGCGTATTGATTAATTGATAAAATAAATCGCTTATATTTATGCTTCAAACGTATTCAACGTGTTTAATACATAATGAAATTGAAGAATTCACGATTAAACTTTTCTCGAAAGGAAGGGATTCCATCTTTTCAAGAAAATGAATTATTTTCATCAACTATTTGAGTGCTTATGGTAAAATACGATTTACCTCGTTCATGCTGCAATTGTGATGTGTGTGAATTCAAAACTTCTTCATCGTAAATTGTAAATTAAAAAATCTGTGCTTCTCATCTGTTAACTCTTTTTCACGAGGCTTATTTTACAGTTGGCTAACTCTGTAAAGGACGTTATTGCTAACGAGATATTTTATTTTATTAACACTAATTTCATAGTTCATTTGTACAATTGATCTTTTATGGAAACGGCGCATTTGAACGATATACACATGAAATTATAAACGGGGAAAGGAGAATGGACCTCATTGAGTTATCATCCGAGATAAAACAAACAGCTCGAGTGAGACGACCTCAAATTTTAAAACGCTAGCTTTTTCTAATAAATGAACTCAACCTGCACTTATCAATATTATCATCATATTTTAAAGATGAACATTTCTATTGTAATATTTTCGCGAATCTCAAAATCTTAATAACATTGGTGTGCTATAAAAATGATAGGAAACTGCGGACAGTCGGTTAAAAGTATGTCGCAGTGTGTTTTACGCATCATTACATGTCGTGCATCGTACAACTAATGTTTATAGCAATGTTAATATCAGCAGTTACGCGCGTGACGTGGCGTTAGTTTCAAATGTCAAACAAGCAAAAACTGTACTGTTACAGACAATTAAAACTTTGTGATATAACCCAAACAATTCGCATCGTGGGTCATGTTTCGTTCTGTAGGGTTCAACCTATTCGTGTTCCCGGCACCAGCACAGAATACATGCGTGTTTCGCGTTATCGCGTTGGGAATCTAATTTCACGTGTCACAACCTCTGTCCACTTAATTTGACACTAAAGCTCATCTCATCATTTCAACCGAATTAAATACTTTTCACCGTAAGTCATTTTAAACATGTTCCCACACTAAGATCTGCGGTCTGGACCACTGGGCCGTAGCTGCCCCGCGAGGGAAGCATTACCGTGGAATATTACTCTGGGAAAAAGTGCAGTGTTCAGAAAGTTCAGAAGGTTCTGTGGGTCAAAATGGCATCACTTTTAGGGTATCTGAACGCGGCATGTTTATTCATATTGCTGTGTCAGGACCTCTGTAAACAAATGTTGATACATAAGTAATGGCAGTCTGAGAACGACTCTTGGTGTGTTTTGTTCGCAATTACAACATTAGTGGGCAAGAATTCACAGCCGTATGATCACTGATGGGACTTACAAAAATTAGTTTGTTTAAACTTTCTTATACTTGTGCACTTTTTTTATTTCTGTGAACGTCCGGAATGGGTAACCAAGTTATTGGTCGAGTAACTTGAAGTTAGAATATTATAATGTCTTAAACCAGCTGAAACAAATATCATAGTAATCAATCTATGAGTGTTGTCATCTTTCGTCACGAATATGAAGTCCAAAGTAACGATTCTAGTAACGGTATACCTTGTATTCACTGCATGTGGCTAACACATTACGAACATACAGACATTTACTATTGAGCGTCAATGTATTTGAGGTAAACGTTACAAATAGCAATATTACAAATAATAGTAACAAAAATTGATTGTTACATTTATTCCCTATGCTGGTTGACTTATTTTCTGTTCTTGATTCTAACAAAACAAATGTCAACGCCGAACATGATGCCTATACTTATTTGAATTTGTATTCAATGAAAATACGGACAAAAAATTACTAATTACTGTAAAGATGTTTGCGATTTGTTGTGTTTAACGTTTGAATGCAGCAGATATGTAGCAACATTGCATCTAGTTGTAACGAGTATGCTTGTTGTGTTGGTATATTCTGAAAAAAAGTACTATTCTTGTTGGCAACTTGAAATAGATTGGACTGCTTTATTTTATATGCGTATATGTCATCGCCCCTTCTTCGTGGTCCAGTGCTTTTCTCCCCAATTAAATGTTCAGATAAGCTGGATTGGGTGAAATTTGGCTAACCTCGCCCGTTTCAGCCTTCCGGGGTCCCAGAAAACGAACACCCCGGCGCGATGCTAACTAGCTGATAATTTTACAGCTTGTGATAAAAACAAAGACTCGTCGCGGTCAGAGTTTCTAAATATTTATTTTTGACGTTGCCGCAGTCCATTAAACCTTTGTCAAATAAATAAAGTCCATAATTTACCAGGCCTAGCAAATGTGGAATAAGTAGAACGTTGAGTAGAAAAAGGTCATATGCTCAAATGAAACATTCTTAAACATTAGAAGTGATCTATAACATGGTTATAGCTAAATATTTATTTTCAAAGCGCAATTGCGAAATAATGTACGCCTACCGATCTGTTACTGTATGTATTGGCATCTTATTTTAATCAGCGTGATTAAACAATGTATGTCACAACGGAAACATGTGGAAGCTCAAAATCTTTACACTCATGTGGAACTTTCACAAATCGCACATGTGCATGTGGAAATACGAGTTGGAATTTCTAGTCATTTACATTCATGTATTTATTGAAATCAAAAAGTAAATGTTTAGAACTTACCTGTCAGTCCAATAAGTGTAATGCATAGGACTGAACGACGACTCGCTTTGCTGTCGACACGGAAAGGCAAAAGGTCCTGACGCCCCAGGAACAGAACTGTAGTCGTTGAACTGGTGGGGATAAGGCGACGGCGATGGCGATATTTGCATGCTTGATTGCATTCCAGGATAAGCATTAATTGAGGACGGCACCCGTTGACATGACCCGTAATTATTTATTTGTGACATCCCAACATTTGATGAAGAATTAGGTGCAAAACTCCAAGGCGAATATTGTGAATACTGGGAATATGGAGGGCTGAAATAGTTTTTCGTCAGTGTAAGTTGATTAAAGGCGCAACTGGAGTCCGCGAAAAGAGGTTTGGGGAGCGATATTGCGGCACGATAGGGTCTCTTCATTCGCCGACGCCGCCTGTAGTTCCCTTTCTCAAACATGTCTTCAAATGCCGGATCCAGGGTCCAGTAATTACCTTTTCGCTCTCCACCACCCTCACGAGGCACTTTAACAAAACATTCATTCAAACTCAGATTATGTCGTATACTGTTTTGCCATCCCTTTTTGTTCCGTTCATAGTACGGGAATTTGGAGATGATATACTGATAAATGCCACTGAGTGTCAATCGCTTTTCGCTGGAATCTTTAATTGCCATGGCAATCAGAGCTACGTAGGAGTATGGCGGCTTTTGATTTGGGTCGGAGTGATTTTCAGCATCTTTTGACATGTCAGATTTCGTATCTTTGGCATCATTACTCTTCTTCTCAATGAAATCCTCTTGTAATTTTTCTGTTTTCACAATTTTGTTATCAATTTGTGAGTGATCGTTTTTCATTGCTAAACCCGAAACATAGTCGGAATTGACGGGAACTTTGTAATCCAGGTGGTCCATGTTGAATTGATTCAGTCTTGTCCAAATGACTGACTAATGACGGCGAGCTGCGATCTGACTAAATAGCTTGATTTATGACCTGTCGTGACACCGTACATGCAAATCAGTTAGTTTACATGAGCTGGGGGGATTGTTTATATAACTTCTGCCCGAGTTATTTCACGTGGGTTCCAATGGCTAAAGCACTAGCCCTTTAGTCACTTTTCATCGCCTCCCATGGTGTAGTATAAATCCATTTAGTGTCAATCCCAACAGTGATGATATCTGGACAACTGCTTTCAATTGAGTCCAGTAGGAAACTGCCCAACTTTCCAAGCCGCAAAATAGTAAGTGTAAAGCTATGTTGTCGTTTCTGCCTTTTCTCCCCGTCGTTTCCGGTAAACTTGAAACGAGTTTGACTTTCAGTTTTCGGATCAGTGCAAATTGCTATTTCTTACACGCATGGTGAAGAAAATGAAAACACTTCGCTGATAAATAGTCGCTTCGAACTTACACTTCTCACTGGCAGAGGCTGACAGGGGGAATTTCATTTACGGCAGTCCAGGGAATCTAGCTGTCAGTCATAGTATTCCTTCGGTTTGTTTGGTCGTGCTCAGGAGGCAGCAGCCAATTGAATTCTTGCATCGACAGCGAAATAGCCGAATCATGATAAGCGACGCCCCGCCCATTTGTCGTAAGGCAAACCCATTCGTAGTGTCAAGAGTACATTGAGTTTAACTTGATATTCAATTAACTATATATTCTTTTATATAATTTTATTGAAGGAAAGATAAAGGATGACACGCCGGCCGACACTCATAAATATTTTATCTTATCTATTTCGGGTTCAAACATGACATATAAAACACATCCCTTCCACCGTCGACCAAATTACATTTTTTAAATTTTGTTTTGTTTTTCTTCACCTCAAATGAATATTTCAGTAATTACTGAATAACACACTAAGTAGAGACACAATGGAGGTGCCATGTAAACACATTATCATTCGTGTTCCGGGGCGAAATGCGTATGAAAGCATCTTGGGGTTAAAACCGTAGCTAAAGATGTTGGGTTTTTTACTCTTAATTACGAGTTCTTCAAGTCATAATAACGAGTTACATAAGTAGTAATTACGAGACTAAAGTCGTTATTACGACGTTTTAAAGCCCTAATAACGAGAATATAGTCGTAATACACGATGTGTGAGATATTCTAATCAATGACATGTGGACCAACCTGAAAACAAAATGCAACATATTTTATTTCAACAATAACTTTCATCTACATGTATTTACAGTCACTACCTGTTAAATCATATATTGGTATAATAGAAATTGTAAATGCTATTCTCGTTTATGGCCAATAGGATTATAAGATTATAGATTTGTGCTTGTACATATAAATTGTTTTGTATTGTTTGTTTTTTAACGCCGTATTCAGCAATATTACAGCTATATGACGGCGGTCTGTAACTAATCGAGTCCGACCAGACAATCCAGTGATTGGCATCATGAGCATCGATTCACACAATTGGGATACGATGACATGCATCAACCAAGACAGCTAGCCTGACCACACTACCCCGGATCTTCACGGGTCTGTACATATAAATAACATCATTGGTATGATTTCCTTGCTTCTTTTTAAATTTCTTTTCATGTCAGTGTTTCTTTGGCTACATTAATATTTGTTGTCGTATGTGTTTCATTTTAATTTCTGCTAATGTTGTCATACATTATGTGTGCACAGCCAACTGTCCTTATCTTTGCTTGGATAGATATTGTCCTGATTTACAATAGTTTTTCATTAAAGTAATATAACTTATCTTAAACAATGTTTTAATATTACTAATTTGGAAATTATTCTCATAATTACGACTTTAAAAACTCGTAATAACGGCTTTAAACAACTCGTAATATCAACTATACTCTCGTCATTACGACTTTTAAAAATAACATTTATGGCTACGGTTTTGACTCCAATAGCCTTTCGTAATTACTTTTCACTCGAAAACAACGAAAGTATCTTTCAAATGAGTGAGGTACAGGTTCAGTGTAATCAAGTGTCACTTAACTAAACCGGGGAAAGTACCCCTCACTGGTCGTGGACAAGGATACCAAGGATGAGTCCATGTAGGTGCTGGATACCAAGGATGAGTCCATGTAGGTGCTGGATACCCAGGACAACTGTACATTCTTAAGGAACCGATGTCTGAGACTAAAAACTGACGTGTGTCCTAGCAAAGCAAAATGACACAATATCCGCCCATCTGGAATAATATTTCTCGTCGCTGAATGTCAGGAATTCATGTCCTATGAACAATTCCTGCAGGACAATGACTACTGTTACACATGTGTAAGAAACACAACATCTTCGAATACAGCACAGTGGATGTGTTATGTACAAGTTAATTTTTTAAGCATGTTAAATGTGGCATACCGTTCACTCAATATATTCGTATTTTGTTTATCTTAGTCTATTTCATAAATTAGTTGGTTTGCCATTTTTAATTTTAAACTGATGCTCAAACTGGATATTTATAAATTTTGAATGTGTCATAAATTAATATCTGAATATTGTTATTTGGCTATGTTTATATTATTTTTAAGAAATTTATGAGGCTGTAATTTTACTTAAGAACCGGATACCTGAGAACTTATCGCTCATAGAAGGGTTTACGTATCTGAACTAAATACTCCTCCATGAACGCATGAACTTTCACAAAGTTTTACATGTTTGGAATTGAAACAATTAAAAATGGGTAACATTATGTTTTATTTAAAAAGAATCACAATACATGTCGTAAGCCATATGTGACATCATATACCCTCACTTCCTCTCATTCAAGTCAACCCGAGAAGATCCGGGTTAGAAACCAGGCTATAACAAACGACCATGCTTGTCGTTAGAGGCGACGATCGGGATCAGGTGGTCAAGGTCACTGACTTGGTTGCTCCGTGTCCTCGTATCCTATTTGCGTAGATCGATACTGATGATATCAATCACTGGATGGTCTGGTCCAGATTCAATTATTTACAGATAGCTGGAATATTTGTGAGTGCCGCGTTATACAACAAACAAACAAATCTAATTCAAGTCGTGCTCTGGACTTACAAGTTTTCAAAAAGTTGGTGGTGAAGGACGTCTAAGAGTCAATTAAAATAGGCGCACCATCCTCTAAACAAATAGGGAGTGTAACCACAGGCCATTTGATTGAGATAATCCTCTGCAATAGCAAATATGGAGATGGAAGACAAATCCGGTAACACGTACACGACACAGGAGGATGGAAACAGAACACAGATATGTCGTCACATGACACTAAGGGTACCCCAATTCGGGCATCCAAAATCAGTTTAATTCAAATGTCAATCCATATGTCAGTTGTCAACGTGTACGTGAAGCAGTAAGGATGATTTGATAAAATACGAGAGAATATCCCTGTTGTAATTGAAAAATCGGTCAAACGGCAAATATGCAAACGTTTGCCTTCAGTAAAATCAATACAATTGGAAACGCGTGTGGGCTAAAAAGTCAACATGTATACCAGAAGATATAACTAGACGAGTGTCTTTCAATCAAAAAAACAATTATAAACGGAAGTGCTGACTGATCTTTTCGCCCTAGACAACTATTACAGTGCCTATGATATGGAAAAAGTTACATCATATAGCAGATGAACGTGATGCGTAAGACATCATGTGTGCCCGTTCGAGGTTTCGTACAAAGAGTAACGAGAACTAATTTTTTTCATGACATAAGAGAATGACGTTTAACAACACTACTCTTACCAATAAAATATAAGGTGATGACCCTGTTTATGAGGAATGTCATCAACACAACAATGTTATGTGCTTCGTTCGCACAAAACGCCTTTATTACAAATTCTTTGCGTCCCTGGAACTCTCTTAATCACAAAGTGATAGCAATAACTTCTCTGTCATATTTCATAAACGTAATAACATTGAAACCAATAATCATAATTCCTGACAACTCAGTGGGGAAAGAGCAGGTACATACTACACACATGACAACTGTATTTACATCAATACTGACCTGTACAGAGTGAACGTATCTGATCAATTTCTTGTTATTCTAGATGCGAAAACTTTTCAAAGTGCACATGATTATTGTCTTGAATGTACAAATTACTCGCTATATATATAAACTGTTTATTCTTACTTATGTATTAATTATTCTTTTTTTGGCAATGTGGAATCATGATATGACTATCGGAATCACTTGACTATGATGTATTTAATACTTTAAATACATCATAGTCAAGTGATTCCGATAGTCATAATTAACACTGTAATTACACACTACCATGTTTCTGTTTCTACTAATGTTTTCAGTTCCACTTTTAGTGAGTGAGTGAGTTGGATTTAACGCCGCTTTTAACAGTATTCCAGTTATATCGCGGCGTGTCAGCTTAATGTTGGAGGAAAGCCCGAAGTGATGCAGGCCTCAGACGTTTACCACTTCGGTGAAACCCACGAGCACGGGTATGGTGCTGACAAACCTAGAAACATAATCGGGGCGAACCGGGATTCGAACCCACAATCATAGGTTTCTGGCGTGCCCAGGCGACGCAACTCTGCACAGCGAATCGCGGCGCCTTAGACGACTGGGCCACCCGTGCCCCAGTTCCACTTTTAAACAGATAATGTATTTATTTAGTTTCATATTAAACAGTGTCATCCTTAGTTAAATTACCACTGGTCTAGCTATCAAAGTGTTAAATATATGCACGTTGTAAATATGTTTGTTTGTTTGTTTGTTTGTTTGTTGTTTAACGCCGCGCTCAGCAATATTCCAGTTATATGACGGCGATCTGTGAATAAGGGAATCTGGACCAGACAGTCCAGTGATTTTGTAAATATTTGTACATATTTGATACAAAGCCAAATTTCATTGATGGTTAATGTCTTGATTGTTCCATACGGAGAAGATCGCGTAAGTGGATCACTTTCATCCAGTCGATGTTTAAACAAAACTATTGATACTTTAAGCAGCCGATACATCTTAACTACAGAAATTCATTCTTGTCAGACCTTTTTTATGAACAATAAATGTTTCATAACACATTACCTCGTGTACTACATGGTTTCGGAGCAATTCCAGACACCCGTGCATTGCTCGTGCTTTTGTGACATTGGTCTGTGACGGTTGCTTGTTTGACATCTCACGTGGTATCCGTGATGCACATGCATCGATACACATGTCAGCATCCACATTGGCAGCGTTTTTCGTTTGCAAGCACTTTGATTTTAGGTCAAGTGGAAATCACATGGGAACACTCTCTTTTCGCTGTACTAAATTTCGTTACAGTACAATAGTTCATCATTCATCTTGATTATGTCATCTTTGGAGACGACAACAGTTGTTCGCTGGGAGCTTTTAGGCATTCCATTCCTTGGAAATAAGAACACCATGAAACTAAAAAGGTGTTGTAGGATGACAAGAAGCTGGCTTTCATTTATGAAGCAAATCCTACTTATACGACATATGTACTTTGTTTACTCTCGTATTTCACTTCATCCG